GAAAATTATAAAATGCAAAAAGGGCTAAAATTAAAATACAAATAAAGTCGAATGTCATACGGCGCATGTTGTTCTACGTGTGAAAATCGAGCGACCGAATGACCTCATTGTCAAGGACTCACCGGAAATCATTTTCACGATGAGTTCGAGGAAAGCGACGCCCTTGCGCAGCGGTGAGCCACCGTCTCGGACGATAGCGTTCCACCGCTGGATCCGGGGGTGACCGGCGGCGAACCGCCGGGCCAGGGACACTCGACCGGTGACGACATCCACACTCAGCACATCCGGCTCCCCTGACACGACCGGCTCCAGAAAGTACCTCAGCTCCCGGTTATACGGCTGGGGATCTCCATCCGTCGCCTCCAGCTGGGTGAGGGCCTCCCCCACTCCAAGGGAGATGGGGACTTCGATGCTGGAATCGCAAGCATGCGTTCGTTCGTTTCGGGACTCATTTTTGCGGTAGGGTTCGGTCGTATTGGCTTCATGTCGGACTAGATTCCTTTTTTGTGAGTCCTTGACAATGAGGTCATTCGGTCGCTCGATTTTCACACGTAGAACAACATGCGCCGTATGACATTCGACTTTATTTGTATTTTAATTTTAGCCCTTTTTGCATTTTATAATTTTCTCCGTCCACGACTCGAGTATTATTCATTTTACTCGAGTATTATACAGCGCGTTTTCGGGAAAGATTAGATCCGTAACTGCCATATTTCATATCTTCGTTTCCAGAATTCCACGTTCACGGAATCGGACCAAAGGCTCACCGGTAAATATCCTGCAGAAACCTCGGAAGATTCCGGTTGAACTCGGTGACGGAAATCCTGAGCTGCTGGATCTCGGACTGCCCGTTGCAGTAGGCGATCACGATCACGAAATACGTGGAGTTCACGGGCCTCGTGATCGGCTCCTTGGTCCGGAGCTCGCCTGCGCACAGAAGCCTGCATTGCACGACACCGGAATCCGCCGATCGGCAGATTGGCGAAATTTGTATGATCTTACCGGAGGTGGAGTTGACGGCGAAGAACTGATGGTCGGCGCCGGAATAGATGCTGTAAGTCGGCGGCGAGTCCCTGGCGGAGTCCTCCCATGCCTCCAGTTGGGTCACGAGCACGTGAGGGGGAGCGCCGGCGTGGATTCGAGGCTCCCATACCGGCTCCTTGAACCGAACCTTACCTGAAACAAAAAATTCATGAAAATATTGGAAAATTCTTGCGAATGTTAACCTCATAGGGGAGACCGGCTGGACGTTCGATTTGATGCTTTTTAAATCGGTCAAAAACGGATTCCCAACCGCTCAGATGGCGCAGATGCTGCCAATTCCTCGAGAGTTTTCAGTGCAGTCGGTATCACAGTTCCCCCGGCTCGAAAAGTACTCTACACCTGCAATTTTTTTTCCCCGTGTGAAGGTCGTCGAGGTATTAGCTAAGCAACCCTTCCTCACAGTTTCAACAATTACAGTATCCTTGACTGTACCCATCCTCCCCCATCCTCCCCCCCTTCCCCCCCGCCGACCATGCGGTGAACGCGGTGAGCGCAGTGAAGCGATTCATGTGCTTCCTCGACGCTGCCTTCAACTCCACCGCGAACTTCCCCGAATCGTCTCCGGCGGACATCCGCGGAACGCATCGCTATCGAAGCCACAGATCAAACGAGGAAGAGCGCAGCCTCTCTCCCAGCCTCCCTCCCAGCCTCCCTCCCAGCCTCCCTCCCTCCCTCCTTCGTGCCTCGGAGGACAACGACCGTCGCCGGATCCCCGCGGAAACCTCCGGTTTGTGCAATTCTCCAGACCCAGCAGATGCTTCACGACTTGCACAAGAGGCGTGGGGTGGCGCGCGAGAGAAATATGGCATGCAAATTGACGGGCGTGAGCTGGGTGCGAAGGGTTCAACGGGCACGATAAATTTTAAATATACATTTTATATATTTAAAGTTTGAGCTTGTGCATGAAATATACACGCTTGTGAAATTTTTTTTAAAAACCGCTTCAATATTTTTTTTTCCTAAGGGGAATATTTAACTTATCACCAATTTTTTCCCGGATTGACTACAAAATTACAATGCAAAATCAGAGACAAGACTCGCGTCGAATCTTCGATTCGAATCTAATAAAATTATCATCGACTCTGAAAAAAAAATAAATCAAATTAAAACAGAAAAAGCTTTTTGAATCTCCCAAGACTTCCTTTGAATTACACGATGTCGTAGAGACGCGGGGATGCCAGGCCACCGCGCTGAACCTCGGCAGCTTTACCACGGTAAAGCCGGACGAGGCATCCTGCCGAGGAGACCCGAAGGTCAAGGACCAAAGGTCCACAAAGACGTGCATGCCCAGATGAGAAAAAACAAAAAGAAAAGGAAACTGTTGACGAGATCACGGCCGGTAACGCCCACCTCTCACTTGACCCCTTCGTCCGGCACACAAGGGGCACGTAAGCGGCACGTAAGCGGCACATTCCCCGCAGGCATTCGGACTTCGAGAATGGAGGCCACTCGGCTCGTATTTTGCACCGAACGGCCGAGAGAACGTCGCATAAATTCCCTCGTTCCTTTCTTCCCGTCTGCTCGAGATTAATTTTGCAGTAAAATCGCTGCGCGGACTTCGAAACAAAAAGTGCCATGTACAGTTAAAACATATACATGTAAAACACATACATATATAAAACATATAGGGTAATTTGACAACGAGGGAGAATCTCGATGAGGAAGCGCTTTGAGCCATTAACTACCATTCATTTTTCGACGCAATCACAATTAATGCGACTGCCTCATGAACCATGCTTCTCTGCACTTTTTTGCACCGGCGGCCCCAGAATCCCAAAGGCCAATCATCTCGTCGCAGCCTCCCGCACTTCATCATCCGCCGAAAATCATTTCCTCCGAGTGCGACAGCGGAACTCCTTTCTCCGATCGCTGGGCGCAATCTGGACGAAACGCCGGCACGATGTCGGCCGGCGATCGTCATTTTCGTCGGCAAAGGTCTTCTGAATCCCAAAAGAGGGTCGGCACGACCTTTCCCTGCCGATTTGTCTCGGGATCATCCCCATCGATCATCCCCAGTCGCTAATCCGGCACGAAAGTCCTCCGGATCGGCGTCGGAACGTCGTCATGGACATCTCGTGAATCTGCGCGCTGCTCGACGACATTTCCATCCATTTCCCGAAGATGGTTTCGATTCGAATATCTCCTGATATTCGAATTATATATGTATACCCTCGTATACCGTATAGAATATATTTAAAAGGTTCTCGATATTTATGTGTTGCGATGCGAAATTCTTTATCGACTTATTTAAATTCGACGCCGTCGATTCGGATTTAAAAAAAAAAGGCCACGACGCGCACGCAGACCCCCGCAAGGTCTACACCGAGTCTATCCTCTAGACTCGTGACCATGGAGGACTCGGTGGCGTGCATCTTCCTCTTCCCCCGACCTTGTTTCCCGGCCTTGGGGCCTTAAGGGCCTTAACCCTTTGCGTTTTTGCGGTTCCTCTCGCACCGACTCCAAAACTGGGTTGACTGATCACCATGGTCTTCTTTCAGGGGGGGCAGGGGGGCAGGGAGGGGGAACTCGTGCAGACTCATCACGGCTTTCACTCATTATCACGGGGACCCAGATAATGACAAGCGGCTGTCAGAAACGAGGGGAAAGGCATTTTAATTATATAAAAATATATGAATACAATACCATTTCGTCCTTTCGTGGTTCGGGAAGGGAAAGGACCCAGAAAGACAAAAGAAACCGCAGCCTAGTTATTTTATTAATATTTATCGCAGAAGATTCGGGGGGCCGATGGGAGGCGCGAGGAAACACGGCAAATATTTTCTTTGTGCACTGTCACCGGGGGTAAACCGAAGGACGTAACGGTTCCTCATCGGGACGCGACCCCCAGGGGTCGGCCCGGCGAGGGACCGACGCGCACGCGCACGCACGCACGCACGCACGCACGCACACGCGCCGCGAAAATATGCAAAACAGGATCGATCCGATGAGGGGCGGGGCAGATACCATTTCGCAGGGGTCAGATCCGACACTTTTTTTTTCTCTTTCGATATGAGGGTCAGGGCCCTTTGTGCGCGTATTACTCAAAGTCCAGCTCGACCTTTATGCAAAGAGTTCCTCCTCACCTTTTTTTTTTTTCCTTCTGACCCACTCTCGACAACAATAGGAAAAAAATGGAATCCGGGTGTTCGACGTATCGAGCACGCGCCCCGACCGATTTCAGCGCCGTGACTCGACAAGGACGGTCGGACGGCCAGGTGGCCGGGTGGCGAGGTGGCCACAGGTGGCGATGCGGCCACAGGTCCTCACCCGAGGTGAAAACCCGGTGTCATCGCGATTCCCAGCCCCCGAAAATTAATGACCTGCGGCTCCTAATCACTCCGAGAGCAATTAAAAAGAAGCATTTCTCCCATGCTATATTAGACGGAGCGAGGTCCGTTGCAGGGTCTGGAGCGAGGTCCGTTGCAGGGTCTGGAGCGAGGTCCGTTGCGGGGCCTGGAGCGAGGTCCGTTGCTCGACCTTTCACCTCGCCGCTTCCGCTCTCGACGGGATTCTGATTCCCCGTGGAATTCAATTTTTAACGGGGATTCAATTTCTGAGTCATCTCCGAATTTTTTTAGTTCGATGAGGAGGAAGACTTACGTTGGTAAGGAATTAAATGATGTTTAACGTAATTATGAGCGGTGAAATTTTTTATTTAAAATGAATCAACAAGAATTTACTTGCTTTTCGTTCTTGCGACAGAAAAAAAAAATTTGCGAAACTCTTCAAATTTCTGCAATTTCGTCCGGCGCGAATACAAAGCGTCCAAATAATTGCGATAAATAACACGAGATTACAATAAATAATACCAGAGTTCCGACCATCCTCGAAAGGTCACCATCACCACTATTTTTTAATTATAAATAAGTGCACGCAATCTCGGAATTTCTCCTCGACGAGGAGAAAGTCCCTGGCAAGCACTCCTAAAGGTCCGTGAAAGTCCTCCGCGCAACAAAGGTCCACTCGTACCACACAAATAAAAGGGTCACTCGTACCGCGCGACAAATGTTACTTGTTGCCGTCTCGAAGAATCGACGACCCCGACCCGAATGTCAACAAGTACCGCCGACAATAACGGGAAGTACCAGACCAGGTATTTCTCAGCCGACGACGACGACACTCGACGTGTCGGCGTTGCCACAGACGCGTCGACGCCGACAGTGTTGCCAGAGGCGCGTCGACAGTGTTGCAATCGCGAAGACGTGTCGACACCTCTCCGGCAGGAGACATCCGACAATAGCCAGCAATTAGCCGGCAATTAACTCGACCGTCGGGAGAGAAGTAAAACCTCGGAGCCGATCCGTCCCATCGCTCATGCTTCGAAGCAAATAATGGCCATCCCGAAGCAAATAATGGCCACGTAATGGCCCAGATGTTCCCATTGCGCAAGGCGGGCAAAGTCACGCCCCGATCTCCAGCGATCTATCCGGCTCCTTCGCGATGCCGAAAATAAATCATTCTTCGAGAAACGTTCGAATCATTTTTATTATAATGAATGGAATTATTTTTATTATAATATTTTATAGGAGGCAGAAAAAAAGAAATCGGTGCGCGCTCGGTGCGTTCCCATCCCAGAGACGGAAGGGGTCAAGGCGGCATAAAATAAAAAATGATTTAGGTGTTGTGACACCGAAGCCAACCTTTGGGCTCCACCTTCATCCGGTGTCTATGCCCTTTGCGCGATGTCCATGCCCTTTGCACATGCCCTTTGCACGGTGCCCATTACCGGTACTAAACGGTTCGTAAATTTTTCTCCCGCGACCCCGAAGAGCCTGAGAAGTTAATGAAAACGGGCGGGGCTCACGAACGCTTCACGGTTTTTCCTCAGAACGACTCTTTTGAACCCGAGTCACGGCAACCCCTTGGCAACCCACGGCAACCCCCTTGGCAACCCCGAGACGAAAAAGGAACGCGGAGACACGCTTCCCATCCGGGCCACAGCCTCCCGTTACTCCCTCAAAGGGTTCAAACCATACGCCACCACAACAAAAAAAAGGAAGCAACCCCTTACCCCCTTATTCCTTACTGGGGTACTGAGGCAACCCCTTACTGTAAACGGCGCCCCGGAGCAGAACAACCAAGGGGGTCTCATTCACGAGCCTTATCTAATCGTGCCATCGGGTGCTGATCAAGGCCAAGGCGGTCCGATGCCCTTTTTTTTCGCTTCTTCCGCCCCCACAAAAGGATGGATATCGACGAAATGGATGGGTACCCATTTCGTCCCCGCGGGTACCCATTTCATCCCATTAGCATGATTTCTCCCGTCGACGCCTCGCACGAAGCTCATCAGAGTCTCATTTGCATATTCTCCTTCGACCGGACTCGTGACGGACTGATATCGTGTTTCTCGAGGTTCATCGAGGGAGATCATGGTTCATCGAGGGAGATCGGGGCGTATCAAACCGGGCGTAATTCTGGGCTTCGAGCCCGGCACGA